TAGTATATGCTAATAAAAATGTGCCATCACTGAAAAGAATATGCTTACCTTGCTAATCTCCAGAACAGGTGAGCACATATCAATTGAATCATTAACTTAAAGTTAATAACAAGTGTTGAGGAACAATTGGCAGGCTGAGAAAAAAATAATAAAACCTAAAAAAATGTTCTAAAATGTCTAAAAACTGCTGCTATAGACCCTGAACTTCTATTATTTAAATGTTTCAACCAGGAATTAGGGCTCCATATTGAGTTTATACCACCATACAGTCAAGGAAAAGGGGAAAAAAATACCTCAACAAAAACAGGTATCTTAAGTTCTTCATTTTATATTTAGTAGAATGTGATAGAGAGGATATTCACAGCCATTTTGTTGTAAGTGATTCTGAACCTCACCCATTCTTCTTTGAGGTCATTAGCATGAGAAAATGGGTCTCATGATTTTTTAAGAAGGAAATTGTTATTAAAGAAAACAAAAACAAGAATATATTATTTTTTAAAAACTAATGATTTTCAGGGCACCTGGGTGCTCAGTAGGTTAAGCACCCAATGATTTCAGCTCAAGTCACAATATCATGGTTGTGAGATCGAGCCCCACATCAGGCTCCACACTAAGTATGGAGTCTGCTTGGGATTCTCTCTCTCTACTCTCTCTCTGTCTGCTTCCCCCACCACTATTGCCCACTCTCTCAAAATAAATAAATAGACATTTAAAAAACTAATGATTCTATTTAAATAAAAGTTAAAAGTTTTATAATGTGTGACACGGTGTAGAATTATCCCTCTGATGTCAAATGAGAGCTTAAAAACTGAAAAGTCTCAGAGCCCATCAGTCAGAAAAGATTAAACAATTTTATGGGCAGAACAACTACATTAATTTCTTTAAAGTATCAGTATTTAAATAGTTAATGGGCTTAATAGTATATGTATCTATTCCATGACAGGAAAGTAACCTTTAATTTCTACTTAGCAAGTTGGGAGAAATTTTAAAGCAAAGTGATTCAGGCAGATTTATTAACATTTTATATATGTTAAAGGCTTTAAAGAGCCTTCAAAGGCTTTAAAGAGCACGTGTACTTAAGACAACTACAGTAGTTCAAATTATCCCTGATTCTGGTGGGCAATTGGCGTATGAAGGACTGGGTGAGCTGATCTAGTTAAAGCCTTGCTCACCATGCTAGATAGCTTGGAGTTCAAATTGAGAATTACTCAAAGTATTTTAAATATTTTAAAATATTTAAGCAGGAAAATATTATATTGCATTTTTCCAAGTGGATTCACGAAGCAGAATGAAGAATATATGGAGAGGAGGCAAGACAGTAAGGATGCCATTAGGACCATCCTGGAGAACAATTTGTGATGGTGACATGTGAGGCATGATGAAAAAACAGAAAAGCCTATTAGAATAGACTGCCCAATGACTAATCTGATATTCAAGATGAGGCAATGATAATTCTTAGGTTTCTGTCTTAGGAAAGTTGGGATATGAATGTTCTGGTACCAAGATAGGACAAATAGGAGAAGGCCTATTTCAGGATTTGGAGAAAGGGTGAGGATGAGGAGGTCAGTGCACAAGCTCCAGAGTGACACTTCTTGGGTTCCTGTTCTGGTTTGCCACTTCATAGCCACATGACAGGAAATTTACTTAACCTCTGTTCCCCAGTTTCCTCACATACAGAATGGAGAGAGTTATAATATTTATCTCATGGTATCACTGTGAGGATTAAACAAATTCTTGCCTATCATTTCCAGTAACCACAACCCCTTCAATATCTCAATTTGTTACCTGGGTCGCTCCCACAACCTAACACTAATAACATTGATTTCAACAATCTTTGATTCAACTATGATCCACAAGATATTCTTCCTAACATCCATTACTGTACCGGACTCTTCATTCTCCTACTTCCCTTACCTCCCAGCTTAAATTCCATGGCCAATCCTTATAAGTGTTCTATTGTATAGTCTCAATTCCTTGGCTACTCTCTCTTTTCATCATATTTAGCAAAATAGTCATGTTAAGGCTAGGTTATACCTCTTCTACTCCTGGAGGTAGATTGAAACTAGAGAAATAAGACTGAATGTGGCCAGAGGAATATACTCAAACAAGTTTACTGATCTTATTCTAAATCTATGATGATTAACTAGTGGCTACTCATTATTCCCTGCCAATCAAATAGTATTTCCTTGATCTATTAAGCTTCCGCATTCCTAGGTGCCTGTTGTGTAATTTCTTCTCAATCCTCAAACTTCTCATACAGTTTATACCATCCCTGCTCTCACCAATGACCCAGCTTCCTATTTCTCTGAAAAGAGAAAAGTGTTACATATGTTGCTATTCACTGGTTCCCCTCAACAATTAGATTATGGTTTTTAAAATATAAATCCTGTCGTTCCCTTTTCTGGTCAAAATCCCCTAATGGCTTCCAACTTCACTTAAAATAAAAGCTAAAGATCTTAAAATGGCCTAAATTTCCCCACAGCATACAGAAATTTTATGGCATCTGTGACCTTCTCCTCTACTATTATTCTCCCTTCTCACTTAGGCTCAGCCACTCATCTTGATGCTCTTCAGATATGATAGTTTTCTCCTGCCTCTCAATCTTTCCTTGTTCTCCCTTGGTGACTCCTCTGTGAAATTCTGTCCCCAGATAGCCACCTGGGTGACTCCCTCACATTCTTCAACTCTTCATTCAAGTATACCCTTAGTGAACTCCTTTTTGACCACTCTTTTCATAACTGCAACACCAACATTTCTTCTCTTCTTTTCCTGCTTCAATTTTGTCTTTTACATTTAACATACAACCAAGTATGAAATAATTTTCTCATGTCATTGTTTATTCCCAGAATGAAAACCCCACAAAAGCAAAGATTTAATTTAGCTTTTATTGTTTTACCTCCCTACCTATAATACTATGTGGCATCAACTAGACATTCAATAAATACTTATTGAATTAATGAATTAATCTGTTTAGCATAGTAGCTGGTATAGTATGTACGCTCAATATATATGAACTATCATTATTATGTTAAATAATAATAAAAATAATAATAATATATTGGGCATATAAAACAACATGGGACCTTCAAGTTGCAGCTTCATAGGTTTGAGATTCAAACCTATGGATGGAGGGTAAACTGAATATAAATTAACATGGTAATGAAGTCAACTAAATGAACAAGATCCCACTGGGAAGAATGTTAAGAGTGAAGAGCTGTGACAAATGAGGGTTGAGCACAGGGATGCACTAACATGGAGCAGGAGGAAGTCATGAAAGCCAGGAAAGATAAAAAGGAAGTATCCAGAGAAACCAGGAGAAGAAAGACCAGGAGAGTGTGGTATAAGGGGAGTAAGTGAAAGGTAGGTATTCATGAAGGATGAAAAGGTCAATAGCGTCCACATATTTCAGAGTAGATAGTACCAAAGAAATGAGAAAATAGTAAATGTTGAGATATAACTGATGATTAAAACTGCAGGAAGATTTCATGTTTGAAAATAAATCTTCAGAATCAAGAGTATCTTTAAAAAACAAAACAAAACAATGAGAGGGTTTATAAGATTGTTAAAAGACAAGAATATTTGTGTAACATATTCTTTACCTTTGATTCTCTCAAAGAAAGAAAAGATAGAGTATAAAAAGAATAGATGCATCTCATGCTTAATTTTATGTGACCAGAGGTTGACATAAGTGGACCAAAGAGGTAGTCCCCTGGCTCAATAAACTGAATAGGGTTTTACATAGGTACCTAGATGATAGGATAACATAATGGACTTCTCTTTGGAGTTAAAATCCGAGATCTGAATCAAAACCAGTAAAATTACTATACTTTTTAAAAAGAATGAAAGTATGTAAAAATTCTACAAATCATTTCTCTTTAAGGTAACACTGTAAAGAGTAAAATAGCATCCCAATTTTTATAAAATGTAAAGTATTTTTATATGGCATTCATTATTTTTAATTAATCTTATTTACTACAGGATGTCTAATGAATCTCACATGAAGAAAGGAAATTTAGAATTAGTTATTGCTATCCTCAGCAAGCTGGAAGTATTTTATTTTGCTCTATATTTGTAGTGTGAGAAAATGAGGAGTTTTTAATAAAATTTTTAATAAAGACATTTAAAATACAACCAGTATTTTACAGGTAATTACAAAATGAATCTTAAGTGGGTGCAAATTGAGTAATTTGATTAATTTCTAGGTTGACCTTTAGAAAAGTATTTGTCTAACATTTTTTAGTTTTTGTATTTTTATTATATCAAGCTAAAGTTCCAGCCACTTAATTTCCATGTTGTTTAAAAAAAAATACGGATTGCATTATGTATATAAAATAGTTTGTTTTGTAAAATAAGTGTTTCACTTTAGAAACAATTTGGATTTTGAAATGTAAAATGAAGATTATCTTTGAATATCTGCTTCTCTATCAAGGTTTGCTCTTTTCTGGGTTACCTCACTTACTGCATTTTCCACTTGCATATTTATTTAATTAAGTATTTTGCAGATAGTTAAATTTATTGTTCACTAATAAAAAATAAAATACACCCAATGGCAGTGCATAACTTTCTTCAGCATATGTGTTCTCATTCTAGTAGCCTCTGACCTAGATAAGAGAACTCAACGTTGCAGATATATAATGTGCATCCCCAGCAAAATTGCCCATAAGAATAACTTCATTATTCTGGGAAGCTAGATCTATAAAACATGTAAAATGTAGAAGTGTTCTGTCTCTACAATTTCTGGTAAGTGCAGCATGACTAAGTGATAAAGCCTTAGTCAGCTTCAGTTAGAGCATACCTTACTAAAACGTTTATTGTGCCATGAAGAAAAAAGGAAATATAGTGGGCAAAGGTGTCTACTTCGCAGTAATGAGTTATTTTAGATCTATAGAGCTTGGCCTTGATCAATGGAAAATTACCTCTGGAAGCATTTAGTGGTATAGCGTACCAGTTAGTCATAGAGACCCCAAGTTATAGCAGAATGATGAGAAGGAAAAACTCACCAGCACTACTGGACAGATTGTTGTGGGTGGTAAGATATGGTCCTTCAGAGGTCCGCAGTCACATTCAGGTTTGAGATGAGAAGCACATTTATTATGCAGCTAGGAAAGGAGAGAGAGGACACTGTCAAATTTGGCATGACAACAGCAAACGTACAGCAGATATTTCAAGTGAGATACAGCAAATTCATTAACAATACATCAAAAGAATTACAAGAACAATGAAGAGGGTCATAAAGGGATTCATATTACATTTGCTCTTCTATATCTATCTTAAATAAACTATTTAGCAACTTCCATGCCCCAGCCTACCTATTTTCTAATTCTCAGAAATGTCTATATTCAAAAGGTACTTTAGGCTTTACACCAATAAAGCCTGATTTCTTTGACAAACACAAATTGTTGTCTGTTACAGTCTTTCCTTTGCTTATCTGTTAGCATAATCTTGAAACCACTGTGTGCTGTGGATGCTTTTTTTTTTTTTTTTTGACCCTTCTGTTTTCTCAAAGTCATTCCAAAGTGCACAGCTCAGTATGGGGCATAATTGATCCCATCATTAGTTTTAACTTTGTAATTCAATATGTAAATGCAACCAGAGATTCATCTCAGTAGGAGCAGGATATAAATATAAGAAGATGATTATGATTATAAAAATTTATCTTTATATTGTATTTATCAGCTCTACATTAAGTTAGTGTATAATCACATAATGTGTTATTTACTTTTCAACATGTATGAAATGAAACTGATATTTTTATCCATCTTGGTCACAGGTCTAAATTAAGGTATTATAACAGTGCATTAAATGGTGATTTTTAAAATTGAGGTGGTAGTTATCATTGGAGTCATACAAATTTGCTACAGCCACCGAGGAATTTCTCCCTCTCCCACATCATATTAAGTTAATATAAAATTATTAAAATATAAAATTTAATATAAAATATGAATACTTTAGAATAATTATACACATTAATAAAGCAACATTCCTAGTTCAAAATAAAAACAGAGCCACATCATTATTTCAGTTTTGCACCAAAAGTCACTCTTGAAGTCATGGCTACATTAATTTCCAAAACAAACTTACCTTGTAAGCAGTTAATTAGCCATCAAACATAAACACCTAAAGAGTGTTGATTTATGGTTGGTGAAAGAACTCTACTGAAAGGGTATTTCTAGAAATTGCCCTTGAATCTAAAACATCTGTCATACTACCTCCTTGCCTTTAGTTAAGGCTACTCGGACTATAATTACTGCACATTAGGCCACATTATATGAAATGAAAGAACCTTTATATGTTCATTCATCATTAGCAGCTCTGCTTCTCAGTGACATGTAAACCTCTTCTCAAAAAGTGGTTTAATCTTCTTAACAAGCACTGCTGATCTTTGTCAAAAGGCAAGAAGTGTTGAAGATAAAGAAGGTGAAGCCCATATGTAAAACAGAATAAATAAATAGACGTTCTGATTTGGAAATGAAAATACGTAGTTCCTCCAAAATATAACTAGTGACTGGTGAAGTATATTATTATTTATTGGACTTAATTCCCTTAAAATAAATCACAGGCCTGGAATTTTGAATGTGGACATTATGGACAGCGGTTTCCTCAAAAGATATGTTAAAGTCCTAATTCTTGATACCTGTGAATGTGAGCTATTTGGAAAGATCTCTGTAGATGTATTCAAGATCAGATAAAGTCTTGCTGGAGTAAGAGAAGCCCTAATCCAATGACTGGTGATCTCATAAGGAGAGAAAAATCTGGACATAGAGAGACAGAGATGGAGGAAAGAGGTTATGTGGCAACAGAGGCAGACATTTGGTGATGCAGTTATAAGCTGAGGAACACCAAGGATGGACGACAACCAGAAACTGGGAAGAGGCAAGAAAGGATTCTTCCAAATAGGGAGTATGACTTGCTGACATCTTGATTTAAAATTTCTAGCCTCCAGAACTATGAGAGAATAAACTTCTGTTGTTTTAAGCTACTCACTTTGTGGCATTTTGTTACAGCAGTCTTACAAAACTAATATATCCATCAGTATGAAAACTAAACCCAAAACAAAGACAAATGATGAATCTTAAGGGTCATGTGTTAGCAGGGTGTCACAGCAAAAAATCTTTTGTTTTCTGATCCTGCACAACCTCTTTAAAACTGAGAATGTAGACTCTAGAAGCCTCTAACTTGTAGAGGCAAGATCTACAATAAAAAAAAAAAAAATCCTTGTGTGCATGGAATGAGAAAGCACTGAATTTTTACTCTTGACTAAAGTTTGTAAAGCCTGACATGTGACTTTAAGGACAGAGGGACAGGGCACTCTGAATCGCTTGCCAGAACTGACCACGGGAGGGCCATCTGAGGGTCTCAGCATCTTCCAGGCCTGCATTCCATGTGCTTCCAACAATTTACACCTGATATGGTAAAGGACAACTGAGCTTTCTGTATAATTATTTGAGGGTCACCGTACGTAAGAAGAGATGACAAACATAAAATAAATTTAATGGCACCTTTCTTCTCCCTCCCTTTCTTCTCTTCCTCCTCTTTCTCCTCATCTGCTCCCTTTCTTTCTCTTTCTTTCTCTCTCTCTCTCTGTTTTCCATCCAAAAAGAAAGAACTAAGGACTCCAGTAGAATCACAGTTGATGAGTTGAACAGAGTACGTGCATAGGAGGTAACTCTTCATATCCAGATTAAGGGATTTCAGAGTAGAAGTGCTAAATGAAGTTAGCAAGCACTTTTCCAGTGTGCCTGTCACATGGCTCGTATCTCTGAGGTTTATCTGGTCAGCTGCGAGGCAGAATCCTGCAGGAACATAGGCCAGTAACAGTCTATAAGAAAGTTGCTAACTATATGATTGTCAGTGAAACAGGGACACACAGTGCAAGAAAATTCTCCTACTGCAAAGTCTGTATTAACTACGAATGTGCAATGATGCCTTAAACTAGAATCCCAAAGCTGCTAAATATATTTGGGTGGCTATCGACACCATGACATTGTATGAAGCCAAAAGTGTAAAAACTGAGGACACCATTTGGAACTGCTGATTATTCTCATCATTCTAAAAGCTGTAAGTCAAATTTGTACAGAGGATCTAGTTTATTCACTGCATTGCTCAGAGATACACTTGAGGACAAAGGGTAAAATGTGAAAGCCAAAATATAATCATAATAATAACTTATCATTCCAGCACTATTTATCAAGATTAAAAGTGAACATCATTTTTTTTTTTTTGGTGTTAACCTTAAGCTGCTCTAAAAATAAAAAGTCTGTTAAAAGCAGAAAGTATCCACAAAATAAGATGACAGAACTTAAAATCTCCTTCCCCACCTCCACCCAAAACCTCAGCTTACTGGTAATGTTCTATTTCTTGATCAGATTCTTGTTACACGGAGTGTTCATTCGTGCAAAATTCATTGAGTTCTACCCTTAGGATATTTAAATTTCCTGCATGTATGTTATTTTTCAATACAATCTTAAAAATGAAAAAAAGTGAACATAACCAGCAACAAAAACAATTTGCTTATACTTGTCACCATGACATTTTACAGACAAGCATATAAGAAAAAGACACAGCTGAGTCCTTTTCAGTGTCAATAAGATGCTGAAGACTCAAAAATGTCTTAAAGATAACCCAGATCCCAAATCAGCAAAAGCGTAAATACAAAAATCCTCATCAAGAATAAAAATAAACTAGACCATTGATGAATCCCGTGTCTTCAATAAAATGGCCAATGGAGCCCCAGATATGAAACTATTACCTTCTTTTAAATGTTTCTATGTTTGTTCATGGTTGTGTTTGCATTTTATTTAAAGATTAAGGCATAGGTCATTTTATTATATGCACAGAAATTCTGGTTTGAGTTAAGGGAATCAGACCTATATCTAGGAAATGCATCAAATATGAACCACCTTTTCCTGGAAGTGAATTAAACACTTGGAAATAATTTTAGAGTTTATGAGAATTTCCAATAGCGCCTAATTTACAGCCAGATCTATGTTTATCGGAAAAAGCTGTCTCAAGTTAGGAAGAAAAAGAAAATGTAAGTGTGTGTGTGTGTATGTGTTTGTATGCATGTATTTGTGTGTGTACTTACAGAGTAGAGTTGAGAAAGAAGTTGGGGTACTCTATTGATAAGAAATCACTGGAATCTAAGAAGTCAAATAAGGAAAAATAAAAAAAATACATTTTCATTTTAATTTGGATGACAAGAAGAGAGATAAGTCATTCTTCCAAAGCAAAACTAAGTGACCCAATTTAGAAAAAATGTTGCTGGTTTATACATTCTTTTGTCTGTAACATTTTGAAACTGCATGGTGCTGCTTTAATGCCACCTTTTGCTAAAGCATAAATCTTCCTGTTGGAAAGGTATTGGAAACCTTTAAACACTACCCATGGTGGCCTAATATTTTAATAAGGTAGTAGTGCTACAAGATACTAAAAATAAATAATTCAGAGCTATAATATAGGTTTTCTTTAGTCAAGTTCAAATGAAATGTACCACTCTCCTATCCTGGGGAGTTCTACCTGACCTGGGGCATTTTACCATGACCAGGAGCAAATTTCAACTTGTTTTAAATAGAATGTCAAGGAAATAAATTCTCAACAGAAATGAACACATATAAACAATGGGATCTTAGGATCTGAGAATGTAAATAGGAGAGGTAGAGAGAACAAATGAAGATATTTGGTATAACTGATTGAATTATAAAAATGCAATAAAATGGTTGCATAAGTGCTAGAAGATAGTTTACCCTATTCCTACTTAGGAGCTTTCTGTTTTTATTTTTAAGTGGTTAGATTTGCAACAGGAGATGAAATTGTTTTCTAAGAGCTTAACTTTATAATCTACAACATTATAATCTACAAGAAAGTATCATTTCAAGAAGCCATAAGTGCTGACTAAAGAGGAGGTATTAAAATGAGTTTTTACCTTTAACATTTGTCTAAACTTACTTGTGTAGTTGATGCAGATTTAGGTATTATAAGATGATCTTTTTACAACACAGAATTTAAGATGTGCATTTAAAATTCAATATTTAACAGTAATGAAACTAGTATATCACTGATTAAAGTGAACTTGTTGAGGACCTCCTCTGACTTCAATACT